CTAGGATCACACAGCTAGTTCTGAACCTGGATTAGAACTCAGGTCTTCCTGATTTCTGGCCCCTCTTGCCACCTAGTTGCACATTTATATGTACGTATATGTATATATGTGTGTATGACACATATATATTATGTGTGTGATTAACACATATACATTCACACATACATACACACATTTATGACAATTTATCAGGATTAAAATGATTAAAGTATTAAAATATACAAAAAGCCCTTTCATATATAACAGAATGTCAAAGAATGCAGCCACATTAGCATATGCATAGCAGGAGGACTGAATGAAGGGTACAGAGTGGGGCACAGCCTTAGAATCACAATGAAAAGATAAATGATGATGACTACAGGAACACATGTGCATATGGGGGAACGTCAGGGCTTATCATGTCAAGTGAGCACAGATTAGCAAAAACGTGTGATTCCAACTGTGTGGGGGAATACGATCCCCTTATAAAATTGCATGCATTTTCTTGGCTGCCTGGCTCTGTACACAACCAACACATAGTGTACAGAAGTTGCCAGTTGGCAAGGTTATAAAATCATAGAATTTAAAATGGTAAGGGCACTTAAGGATCATCTAGCCAAATTCCTGTATTTGATAAATAAAAAAAGCCAAGACTCAGAGATATCAGATGACTTGTCCAAGGAGATGCAGACTGTTGCAAACTCCCTGGCCATAGTGGGGTAGTCTTTTCACTATATCACACTTGTCTCTTGCACACACTTAACATTCTGTCAAAATAACAGTGTCTTCCAATGTTTGGAACACAGGTGGAAATAATATGCTTACTGTCTAACAAAAGTCATTTGCCTCTCCTCCTTCCACCCCAAGCTTACAATAAAAATATGGTAGTGAACAAACTCTTCCCATATATTTCAAATGAGGCTACTCCAGTATCCAAGTGGGGCTGTTAGGTGGCACAGTGGATAGAGTGGCAGGCCTGGGATCAGCAAGACTCATTCTCCTGAGTTCAACTTTGGCCTCAAACATTTACAAGCAGTGTGACCCTGGGCAAGTCACTTAACCCTGTTGGCTTCAGTTTCCTCATCTGTAAAATGAGTTAACAAAAGAAATGGCAAAGCACTCCAGTATTATTGCCAAGAAAACTCCAAATAGGGTCACGTAGAGTTGGACTAAATAACTGAACAACCACCACCACCTACATCATTTAGAGTAAGGGATGGGACCCAAAGTTGTGGACCATGCAAAAAAATGGGAAATTCAATTCCATGAAAGAAATATTTATGGGTCACCTACTCTGAACAAGGAAGGCACTATGCTAAAGAGATTCCTCCCTGTCCAGAAGGAGTTTACAGTCCAGTACATACATCAAGACAAAGATCAGACAGAAGAGTCTACCTGGAATCCCAAAATAGGGATGTGGGATTTTGCACTTCTTAGCACTATGGCAATATAAGTAAAATCCTAATTGGGGAATATTTTCCCAGCAAGCATACAGTAACTGCTCAAAATCCTACGTTTTACTTAAGAAGTTTAGTGCTTGTGGTTTGGTTTGCAACCAGATGAGTTAGGAGGTGAAGAACCACACTAAGAAGGTATATATGCATATAAACATATTCCTCTACCCACAAGTTTTCTTGTAAAGAAAAGTGGTTAAATAAAAACTATTGATTTTATCAATAGGCATGATTCCAGGTATAGTCTGGAGGGAACAGTGCCTCATTGCTTTGACACCACTTTTCAAATGTGTCTTGTCTTCCAGCAAAAGGCCTTTCTCTAAGTAAGAGTTAAGATATAAGTCTAGGAAATGAGGACAAGGTGTGTTGCTATGCAGAGTATATCACACCCACCATAAAGCAACAGGTGGTAGCATCTAAATATGGCAACAGCTTTCTTTGCACAATCTTATAAAGCATTTTGTTCTGAACTCTTTTGGATATATGATGCTGTAACAGGCGCTGGAGAAATTTTTTAATAATGTGGGGGAGAAGTTATTTCTGGTTCTTTAAGAATTCATCATTTCTAGAAAATGCTGGGAGATACATACATACATATATTTCAGTTGCGATCCACCCTCAATAATTCATAATAATAACAGAGTTCAAGGATCACATGGATTAAGGAAATCCACAAAGAACCTTAACAACTTCACTTCAGTCTTCTGTTTTAATAAGTCAAGCAAGGTTGCCTGTATCTGGACTGGAATCCATGTCTGTATTTAAGGTGAATGGGGAGTTAGAAAAAGGATGAGAGGTTCCAAGGACATAAATTGTTCCCTGGTGCAGTATCTGGGCATTTGCAAAGCTGAGGCCAATTTATATGATAAAGTGGGGTGGATGCTGGGTTCCTTCCCCATCCTTGCCATTTGAGAGTGCATTTGGTCACCCTTTCTCCCCAAGACCTTTCTCCTAAAAGGTAACCAGATCCAAGGTGTTTTGAGATTGGTGTGTGATTTAAATCCTTGGGATGATCAATCAGGTGAAGTGACTTGGGAAATCAAGGACTTCTCATGGTTATGTAACAACTTGCTCTGGGCATATGAGTGCACACTTGTCTGAATGTTTGAGGCCGCCTCTTGAAGTTGCTATGCGTTGGAATATGTGAATTTCCCACTGTTCAAAACATGGACAAGTTTTTGCAGGCTGTAAATTATAATGTCAGGTGGGTTGTGTGTGCATATGCTAATCAGGAAGCAGGGGGCCCACAAAAGAGAACTGTGCTCTTATCTGTGTGATTTCTCCAGGCCTGGGGGTAAGTACAAATTAAAATGGAATGTCAACAAGCACAGTGTTGGTTTTCAAGGCCTTTTAGGTAAGTAAAGATGTGTGAAGCTAACTGATGGTGGGGCACAAATAAGAAAGAAAGATTTGGATAAAGGAAACATACATGTAAGTGAGAAACAGCCAGGTAACAGGACTGGTTACCTAAGTTATCCCAGGTACTCTCCATGATAAAATGGCAGACCCTAAGACTGTGAGCTCCTTGAGAGGACTGACTATCTTCTGCCTTTTTTTGTATTTCCAGAGCTTAGCACAGTGTTTGGCCCACAGTCGGTGCTTAATAAATATTAACTGATGGACTGACAGATCTGAAGATGGAAGGGTCCTCACAGGCCATCTAGTCCAATCCAGTAATTTTGCAAGTTGAGGAAAGAATGAATAACTCACCCATGGACACCAAGGTAATAAACATCAGAGGCAGGATTTGAACTCTGGCCCTCTGACTTAAAAACCAGAAAGCTTTCCACAACCCTGCTGTCTCCCCAAATCAGCCGCTTGCCATAGATGTGTTCCAGAAAATCTTTGAATAAATTGACTATCAATCCAGCCACAACTTAAAACTAAAACTCATAGGTAGGATTTGAACCAAGGTCTTCCTAACTACAAATCCAATACCAAATAGCCTCCTCCACGTCAGTATATATTTCTATGGTTTTGTCATGTGGCACATTTTTACATCATGATTATATCATACCAGTTCATTAAACTGTATGCTCCTAAAGGGCATGGGACCAAATCTCTGTTTTCTTCTGGTAACTTCTCCCATCTCCAAAGATGATAATCCATTCACTATTGGGTTCAATATATAATACTGTCTCATTTCTGACCAAAAGTGTGTAGCAACAGAAAAGTGGAGTAGACTGAATGGGACCAAATGTTTAATATACAGGATACTCACAGATCCATGGAAGTTCTCATCCATTGGCAAGGTTATGAACTTTTAATATTTGTGCACACAGAGGAAGCGTTTAGGGATATGCATAGGCTAATGCACAATGAAAGTGTGTGTGTATGTGTGTGTGTTCACCTGTGAAGGCTGTCAGGTGGCCGTTTCTTGTTAGAATGCAAGAGAGAGGCCACTGAAGGGTCAGAGATGGCATTTATGCCACCTTGGTACCATGTGACAGCAGATTTAATTCTATACTTGACCTCATGTACATTGCACTGGGTGTGCCAGAGCACAATGCTTATAATGCCTGCTTATAGGTTGTGACTGCACTTTCCAGTGTGGTAAGTAGGATGTGTGATAACAACTACTGGCTGGTGGCCTGACACATTTAGGGTCATTCGGTGAGAAGTGCATGCTTGTGTCATGATGTACAGATCTGAATACTGTACATGTGATGGTGATGGTGATTCACACAATTGCTGTCAGCGTTTTCACTGCTTTTCTGGCTCTGGTACATGATTTAATTGGAAGGATGAGGATTTTCTCACATCTGATTGATAGAAATTTCTGGAGATAGGAGAGGGTCCCAGTTTAGGAGAATTAAAAATGTACGTGTGAACTACTTGTTAGTATTTTCCATCATCAACAAGCATTTATTATGTGCCAGGCACTGTTTTAAATGCTGGAAGTACAAAAAGGGGCAAGATGTGGGAGAAATCTGGCTGCAGTGGGTCAGGGAAGAGATACCAGTGCAGAAGGGAGAGCGGGTTTTCCTTGTGGAATTTCCAAAGGGCTTTTCCAACTTGAAGATGGAGATTGGATGTCGGTTGGGAAGTAGTAGACAGGGACACCTGTGTTCCACCTGTGACCACTTGATGGTGAACCCACACAGCTTGCAAGGGCAGCGGGTAAAGTGTTAGTGGACAATGAGGACAAGGTATGGCCCTGGGTTTTAAGGGTGCCTGCCTCAAGAGCTCAGTCCAGCCTCATTTTCTCACAGCTCAGCACCAAACTTTCTCTTGCTCCTGGAATATAACCGCTTTCAAACCAGATGGAGGAAGGATGAAGGATAAAGGATGGAGATGCTGCCAGCTGCGCCCCTCAGATCTCCCCCCTCCTCCTCTTCCCGTAGCTCCCACCCTCTTCCTCAAAGGGAAACCAGTCCAGCTCAGCCCAACCCCACCCCGCGCATCATCCTTCCCCACCCACCCTCCCTAACTCCGCGCCCAGGAGACACAAAGCCGGGCGCAAGGAGGGGTGGGGGCAGGAATGAGGCCAGGGTAGCCCCTCTCTGGAGGAGGGGGGTGTTTTGGAAATGTTTGGGGCAGGGAGGGGGAATGCCCGCGCGCGTCTACCTTTAGAAGGGGCCAGGTCAGTGGCAGGCGGGCAGGGACGGCCTTAGCATCGCGTGCGCTGCGCGGCTCCTCCGCATCCACCGCTGCGCTCTGGGCGCCAGCACCGCGCCAGCTCCGCGAAGACTCCGCCGCCGCCGCGCTGCCTCCGCCGCTGCTGCTGCTGCCGCTGCCGCTGCCTCCCACCTCCGCCGCCGAGTGCGGGAGCCTCGGCCAGACGCGGCAGGAGCTGACTCCCCTTTCCTTCGCGGCTCCCCTCCTCTCACCCAGCCGCTGCCACTGTCAAGCGGAGCCCCGCCCCCTGCGCTCTCAGCCAGAGCCGGGAGCCTGGAGCCGCTGGGAGCTGGGGCGGGGCCGGGACCACCCGGGAGAACCACGCCGCCCGTCGGGATTGGCCCCGCGCCGGAGCCGGCTCCGCCCCCGCCCGCCTCCTCCCTTGCTGTAGCCTAGCCGCCGGCCACCTCGCGCCCCCTGCCCTGCCCGATCGCTTCGGGATGCAGGGCACCGGGCATCTGCACTCGTGCTCCCTTCCTCCGTCGCGCGCCTCCTCTGCAGCGGGCGCTTTCCCCCTAGGGTGGGTATCCCGGCTTCACCTCCTCCGGAGGGTTTGCCGTTTCTCCACCTGAGTCTCCCAGAGGCCCGCCACAAAATAAATGCAGTCAGCAAACACTTCTCTGGGGGCACCTTCCCGGGGACTGGCTGCTCTAGGATGAACTGTTATTTATTCATGGACAGTGATTTTTTTTTTTTAAGGAACCCTGGGAGGAAGTGTGTGTGTGTGTGTGTGTGTGTGTGTGTGTGTGTGTGTGTGTGGTGTGTGTGTGGTCAGAGGGGAGACACAAAGGGTAGAAATACCAAATTACGGAGAGACTTGGGAAAGGGTGGGTGGGTGTGTTGGGGGCAGAAATGGGCTTCAGAGACCACCTAGTCCAACTTCATTTTATAGATAAGGGGAAAAGGGGCTCAATGAAATTAAAGGACAGATCAAGGTCACAAAGCCTTTTAGTCCAACAACCCACCCACTAAGCAGGACGCACCTACCACAGAGAAGGCACCTTGGGGACACAAGAACTAAAGGGAAACAGACCCCATCCCTGCCCTAGACCTTCCCAAGTCTACGATTTCTAGGCACCTGCTTCTTCTACTACACCTCAAATCCTAACCCTGATCTAGTGTTGTTTGTTTTGTCTTTGTATACCCAGCCTCTTGTACAGTAAGTACTCATTAAACGCCGACTGGATTTTTAAAAAATTGTTAACTGGATTTCAATATTTGATAGAGAAGCAGCGTGGCATAGTGGGTTAAGAGCTAGACTTGGAAGTCTGAAAGTCCTGAGCTTGGAATTCTGCCTCAGACACTTGCTACCTGTGTAAACCTGGACAAATCACTTTTATTCTCTTAGCCTCAGTTTTTTCATCTGTGTTGTTTAGTCCCTTCCAGCTCTTTGTGAACCATAATGCACGAGGCATTTCTATCCTCTACTGTCTCTCTAGGTCTGTCCAAGCTCATGTTCATCGCTTCTGTGACACTATCTATCTCATCCTCAGCTACCTCCTTTTCCTTTTGCCATCAATCTTTCCCAATACCAGGGGCTTTTCCATTGAGTCCTGTCTTCTCGTTATGTGGCCAAAGTATTTAAGCTTCACACTCTGTATTTGACCTTCCTGTGAATAGCTTGAATTAACTTTCAGTATTGATTTGATTTCCTTGCTGTCCAAGGTTCTCTCAAGGTCTTCTCCAGCTCCACTACTGAAAGCATAGAACAGAGATAACACCTACTTTACGAAGTCTTTAGGAGGTTATGTATGTATGTTGGTATGTATGTATACATACATGTATACAAGGCATCCATATATACACATACAAACATACATATACACATATCTATATACAATATATACGTATAGAGTACTTTGCAAACCTAAAATGCTATAAAAATGTTAGCTATTGAGAACCACAGTGGTTCTCAAAGGCTGTGTGCCTAGAGTTTTGTTAAGGTTTGCTGTGAAATTTTGGAATATTGGATGTTGTGTTCTTGCAGATGTCAAAAATATAATTTTGCTTAATATAAATTTTACATTTTCAGCACATGTAGTATGGTTAGTATATTATTTGCAGAAGAAATACAAATTGCCCTGTTACACATATGCACAAACCTCAGAACACTTCAGGATTTGAACTCCAAAAGAATACCATAAATGACTTTTACTTAAGGGACTACTTTTTCATCTCTCTAACCAGGGTCCTACTCCACCATTTCCACTCTTGCAACCTCCTTCTCAGATTCCTTAGTTCCTTCCCCAACCTTATTGAGGAAGTACCTTGTCAATCATGCTCACTTCTAATTTGGCTTAGCACCCCCAACTCTCTGGATTACTTTCCACCTTGCCCCTCCCTGGGTACCTTCTCCCAACCCCTTTTCATCATCCTGTTATGCGCTGTGTTACCTTGTTAGAATATAAGCTTCTTGAGGGCAGGAGCGGTTTTTCTTTTTGCTTGTATTTGTATTAAAAGTTCTTAGCAATGCCTGGCACATAAGTAAATAGTCTACCTAATCTAATCTTGCTTGAGCAAGTCCCCTAATTCTTCCACAGTGTTGTCCATTTAAAAGTTCCTTGTGCCACCATTCTTCATAGTAACAAATACTGCACCCTAAGTTAAAATATAGAGAATTCCTGACCTACTGTGTGCTAGATACCTTGGGGGGGGATACACAGTCGAAGAAGACACATTTCTGCCTTCAAGTCACTTTCAATCTTAGGTAGGATTTGCTGCCCTAGAGGTTTTAGAGGGTAGAAATTATGACTGAGGTATGCTCTGATCAGGTCTGCATAGTGAAAGCAGGTTTCCCACCCTTGCCCAAGACCCTCTGCCTGAGAGAGCATACTACTGAACTGCTTAGGAGAAAGCAATTATTCTGATTTCAGTCCCAGCCCTCACCAAATGTGTCTTTGGTTATACCTGGGTAAGGGTGTAGGGTCTATTAAATCAATCACTCCACCAACTTAAAAGTAATTACATTAATCAGGTGAGAACAGCTCTGTTGAATCAAACAACAACCAAAGACGTTAGGTGTGACAAGTCCTTAACTCAGTTCTAGAGAGCCTTTGGATGAAATGGAGTGATTTTTGCGCAATAAGTATATGCAGATTATAGAGAAGATTTAGTTACACCCTGTGGAGGCTTCTATAAAACCAGCAAGCTAATTTGTAATGGGGCATTTTTGGCAGCTTACTGATAGGGGCTGTTCCAGCAAAGCCCCTGAGAGAGAATCCAAATTTCTTTTGGGAGGGGGACAGAGTGGAGAGAAGAGCCTCAACCCCAGTCTCCTTCCAACTCCACAAAGTTGGTCAGAGGAGAATGTAGTAAATTTTAAAGTGCATGGAGGATTTTGAATTTTCCATCAATATTCTGGTAGGGTCCTCAAAACTTTAGGCAGCAGTATCTGCATTGGGAGCCTACAAGAAACGATATGCTGAGGAAAGGTAATTTCAAGCCTCTACAAAGGACCTAGCAGACAGCCACATCACACTTAAGCAGAAGGGAGCATGATAACTCTCCCCAATGGGGTCATGTCACAGACTTTTGGGGGGACTGTTTTCTACCAACTGTTCTTACTGTACCACTTAGTAAACACTCCTTTCTAGAAGCTGATTAAGTCTGACTGACTAATTGATATCCACTGATAGTGGGGGAAGCAGAGTGATGGGGGCTTGTGGGCTATATGATACTATTTATAGTACTATACTATAGTACATCCCAAACCCATTAAGGTTTTCTAGAATCCTGACTGGATCTCAGCTCTGGGGATCTGGCCTGCTAGTTCAAGTAGGGGATTGAAAGAGTGAGCCCTGGACATGGGTCATACCTGTAACTACTTTACCTTTTAACTTGATTATCTGTGTAAAGACATTAACATATTTGTCATTGGCCTCTTACATTGTAAGGATGCATGTTCAAAGTGCTGAGAATTCTTCAAGAAGTATCCTATAATCTAGCATTCTCAGGATCCCTTTTTTTCTTAAAAATTATAAAAGATCCTAAGAGCTTTTTTTTAAGTGTGGATATTGTCATATTAAAACATCTATTAATTAATTGAAAAATAATAATAAACTTACATGTTAGGTAACATTTTAATGAAAAATAACCATTTTTTCAAAACAAAAAATTAGAATGGCATTGTTTTATGTATTTTTGCATATCTCTTTAATGTCCGGCTTAATAGAAGACAGTTGACTTCTCATATCGGATCCTGCATTTGATTTGTTTCAATATGTTGTTTTGGTTGAAGTATATGAAGAAAATCTGGCCTCGTACAGATTAGTAATTGAGAAAGGGAAGCATATTTAAAGCAAATGACATTCTTATTTCTCTCCAGGCTTTACTCAGGACTTTCTCTACCATGCTCCAGAAACCTCTTCATCCTGGAAGCTCACTCCAGCCCTGGAATTTACACATTGAGAGAACCCTGGGCTTTTGAAGCCTCTCCCTCTGGTTGAACAGCTTCTTCCAAAACCTCCATTTAAGGAGGGTGCCCAAGCCAGGCATGTCTTCATTCAGACTCTTCAAACTGCACTTCTGATTTCCTCCATCCCTACTTCATGAATTCCCTTTCAGCTTTCTTTTATGTATTGGCTTCCCAATTGGTATGTACGCTGCCTGAGGTCAGGAACTGTCTTTCTGTTTGTATATGTCTTCCCAATATTTAGCATGCACAGCTAGTAAGTGCTTGATTGACTGACATTGACTCTTTATTACTACGAAAATAGTTTTGAACTTGAGGAAACCACACCTACCCCCTTCACAAAGAGTATCAGGTTCCCCCAGGGTCATCAGAACACACTTTGAGAACCCCTGCTGTAATGAAAACTGAGACACCAATTTTAAAATATGGAGCTTCACTTTGCTATGAAATGGGATCACTGCGAGAGTCACAGCCCAAGGACAGAAGTGAATTTCCTTGCCTTAGAGGCATCAGGAGAAGTAGGCTTCAGTTAAATTTGGGCTGAAAAATTCTTGGATAAGAGGTATAAAAAAATTAAAAAGAGCCACTACCAAAAACAGAGCAATGTAGTTCTGGCATCAGTGTGCAGGTTTTTTTCCTCTCCAAGATTCAATGCCTATAGTGATGAAATTCATGATGAAAATTGGCCCAGGCAACATGTAAGCTATGGTGTTTCAGAATATTTTGGCAAAGAAAAAAAATCAAAATATCCTGTTTCACTATACTGTCAAAAACCCCACAAAACTACAAGCATAGTCACTCAACATTTAAAACTGTGTCATTCTCAAGCTAGGACAGCTCATGTATTAATATTATTTTGCCACAGATTAATATTTGAGGACTAAAGAATTTGTCACCTATTTTGAATATAGAAAAAAATTTCTCAATCCCATTTGTTTCTCCTCCACTTTTCTCTGAAATCCTTCCTCTTACATCCATTCCTTCTTTCATGAGATTCTGATGGCTAATTAATACCTTAGGGTTATTATTTTCTTCTTTTCTCACATCTTCTTGTACAGAAATCTAGAAAATAAAATTGATAAGGGAACAGTGACTTCACTGGAGATGTGCAGACAGACTAAAACCAGAAGGGAAGCTTGTAGCTGATTCTCTTCCAGGAACAGATGTCATCCCTCCCAGAGGAGTTATTATGGATGGGAAGAAATGAGATAATGAAAATATACAAGCTACTTTGGAAATGCTATCAAATAGGACTGTATTTGCCAGCCAGTCTATGGACTGGCTGGTAAGTGGTATTTACTGACAAAAGCAAAAGAAAAAAAAACACAGTAGTTGTTTTCTGAGGGATAGTCAAAGGGGGAAGGACTAGAAAAAGTGATTTAAGAATTTAAACATTTGACGTGATTGGACTATGCACAATAGTGAGAGAAGAGAGTAAAGCACCTTGGGAAAAGTCCTAGGGAAGCAGATAGTGTGTTACTAGTTGGCCTCAGCTGGCTTTCAGCCATCGGGTCTGCCCTTAAAATGGAACTCTTGCAGCTCATGATGCTGGGGAAATGACTTGTGAGCAAAGCCATAACTAGTCATTTTTGCACTGGGGACAAGAGCCTCTGTGTAAGCAACACAAAATTGGTCCTTAAGCCTTTGGTACACCATCCAGTAGTAGAGAGGCAGAACACCAAGAGAACAGGGAGAAGCTTCCTTGGAGAGGGGCTGCCCAAAGGAGGGGGAGAGGAGCTATCCACTAGCCTTTCTTCAGAGTCTAACCACCTTCTTTTGGATATTCTCCTCTCTTGGCTCTCCTCCTACTTGTGTGACCACTCAGTCACCATTAATGGATCTTCATCCATGTCATACTTACTAACTGTGGTGTTCCTCAAGGCTTTGTCCTAAGCCTCACTCTTTTCTCTATATACTTTCTCACTTGGTGATCTCATTAGCTCCCATGGGTTCAATGATCCTCTCTCTGTAGATGATTCCCAGATCTATTTATCCAGCCCTGGTCTCTCTCCTGGGTGCTCCTCATCACCAATTACTTCTTGGATATTTCAAATTAGATGTCCTGTAGGCATGTCAAAGTCAATATGTCCAAATGTAAGTCATTATCTTTCCCTCAAAACCATCTCCTCTTCTGACTTTCCTAGTATTGTCAAGGGCATTACTTTCCTTCTACTTTAAGCAGGTTCATAACTCTGTGACATCCTCAACTCTTTTCTCTTGATCACCCTATATAGTCAATCAGTTGCCAAATTTTATAATTTCTTTTTCCATTCACATATATTCCCTTTTCATAGTCACCATCCTCATTCAGGGCTCCATCACCTCTTGCCTGGGTTATTATAATAGCCTTCTAATTGTACTCCGTGTATCATCTTTCCTGATTCCAATCCATCATTTACTTAGTTATCAAAGTGATTTTCCTAAATCATATTTCTAACCACCACCTGCTCGATAAACTTCAATGTCTCCCTGTTAGCACTAGTATAAAAAATAATTTCTCAATTTAACATTTAAACCTGTTTACATATTTTTTGGCTTCTTCCTATGTTTTCAGTCTTTTAACACATTATTCCTCACCTTATGCTCTTTGGTCCAGCTACAAACAATGATCCATTTCCTCTCTCTGGGCCATTGTACTAATTGTCCCCTATGCCCAGAAGACTTTCCCTCCTAAGCTTTAACTCTTAGAAACCTTGGCTTCTATTAAGACTTTACTCAAACACCATCCCTTGCAGGAGGCCTTTCCTGGTCCACCCAGTTGCTAAGTATCTTTCTCTCTTAGTTACCTTCTATCTATTCTATGTTTATCTCCTTGCCCTGCCATATGCTATCTGTGTGACCTTAGGCAACTCCCTTGATTTATCTGGA